CAAATGCGCTTTACACAATTGATGTGTGTATGGATTGCGATAACAGTTGTATGAGCCCCTAATAAAATGTTAAAAAAAAAAGTAAGAAAATATTCATTAAAAAAAAAAGAGTTGAGACAGAATAGATTCCATGGGTTCTGAGAACTTAAAGGAATAGCATCTCAGAGATAATAGGGTGGCTTGGTCAGTTGTGGAGATTCAGATCCCTACAGAAGTACTGTGGAAGAAAGGCCTGTAAGTCAACTTCTTTCCAATTCCAACTACTACTGAAAAAGCCCTGTGGGACACAGGCCACCTCTATTCACATGGAGTAGCCATGCATTGGAATGAACCCAGTGGCAGTTCTGTGGAGTGATCAATCTGATTTGAAACATAATGCCATTGTAAGTATCATTGTTCTGCCCCACATGATTAAGCTTCAAAGAATGAGATTCTGGGAGTTAAGAGGAATGGAAGCTTATTCCATTTTGCTATGGAATCCTGTGACTGTGGCTCTACTTCTGTGACCCAGTTTAATGTCTTGAAATAGTCACCCTAAATTCAAAGGAAGATTTGGGGAGTGAAAGAGTCACTCTGAGGATTTAAGTTGAAAAGGAGGGAGACAGCATTCTGATAATATTGTCCTTAACCTCCTGAAAGTAACCCCACCCAGGCCCCCTGCCAATAAGATGAAGATCTCATCTTCCTCCTTCCTGCCATGCCTCCCTCTTACACGGACAGAAATCCGGCTGTCCTTGCATACCTCACAGGAAACAGTAAGAGATCAGGAAAAACAAAGCAGGACGTTTTCAGTCTGAATGTGTAATCATAATGTGAATTTGTTCGTTTGCAGGATTAATCAGAGAAGACATGTACTTTGTAAGTCATAGCAGATAATAAAAGTGATTATTTCTCTTCAAAAGAACAGAAACTATGTTCCATTTATCTTGCAACCTCCCATGCCCAGTATGGTGTGGAGCACATAGGCCCTTTCCCCCTTTTTTCCTTTTTTTCATTATCATAAAAATTTAATTACAGTATTCAAAAGCATAAATAATAGTATAATGTTTCCATGTACCTATTATCTAACTTCAAACTATTATCAACTCATTACATAGGTATTTAATTAATGTTTTTGGAGGAAAGGAAGAACAGTTGGCAGCTTTTAAGACATAATTTGCCATAATCTCCTTCTCTTTAGAAGATTATAATCAATATGAATAATTGAGCCAAAATCACATTTCCTGTAATTCTGATGATGAGGTTACTTACATTTGAGAAAAACAGAGGCGAGATTGTTAGGGATGCCTTCTTTACATTCTGAGTCAATAAAAATGAGAGTAATCATTTTGATTCTATAAAGAGTGGAATCCCAACTGACTTCTCATGCCAGGATTAAAAATTCACCCCGTCTCTGTGTTCTTTTTCTTCATTGTAGCATTCGCAGGTGGGTGTTGAAGGGTGACTGGAAACTGTACCTGTCCTTGGGCGAACTTGTAGGCCCATCAGCCATTTGCTTTGACTGA